TATATATATATATATATATATATATATATATATATATATATATATATATATATATATATATATATATATATATATTCAAGCTCTTTCATCAACTCCGCATCTTGTTGTGTCTCCAAGTTCCTCCCAAAATAAATGATAAAATCCAATCGAAATGTACCAAATTTGATTAAAACAGATGGTTTGGTAGCATACAAACTCAAAAATATAGAAAAAAAGGATGAAAAAATGTTCTTAGAGTAAAAATTGTTGAGATAAAATAACAAGAACATAGGAAACATAAGCATATTTCGGATTTGATTTTTTATACCTTCCTTGATCTGGTTAATCGAACAACAATGATTTAGTGTAAACATTGTGTTTTTATTACCTTTTTGTGTATGTATAACAGCTTCATAAAGTCTTAGAAATCCTTAAATAGATAGAAATCTTAAATATTACAATTTAATTACACTTAATTTGTGTTCAAATTCTGATCATGGATTATCAAAGTAAGTTATGTTACATCAAAAGCAAAAAAAAAAAAAAAAAAATCACTTAATTGTACATGCCTAACATGATTGTTGATTACTCCTCTATATTAAGCAGCTTGACAAATTCACAATTCTCTTTGGTCGGGGTTGGGATAAATCATTTTCCAAATTCCCAAGCATTTAATGGCCCCACATGTCTTGCTTGTCCTTGAGCAGCTTCTTTCAGCTTCCTATGAATCGGAGCCACTGGACATAACCATGCTGACTTATTTGAGGAAATTGAGAGTAGAATGGGGATCGAGGAGTGTGGTAGGGATGTTGGGTGCAAAGTGGGATGCACGGTAGACCAAAGGGTCCACCATAGATTTGAGGATTTATTGATGGGGATGGGAAATGAATCGGATCCCATGTAGAGTAAGAACACAAACTTGTCTCATTCCAATCGATGTGGTCCTCTCTCTGAGTTTGGAACAAAAGAAGGATCTCTTTCACATAGGATTACACCTAATCTTGTTAACAATGGGCATCATATGTGGGAGCGTTCAAGTGCACAGTGACCCAAAAAAGTTCACATCGAAATAGACTTGTGGGTGATGACTAAATTGTGAGAAGGAGCCACCTTCCTTTGTCTGTTCCCTCAGCATCAAGTAGCCATTGGTTCTTTTGCATCTTTGACATTGTTAGCTTTTGGACGGGTGGAAGGGCATGGTGAAGAAAGTAAAACAAAAAAAAAGCAGTGGGAATAAATTCTTGTGACGTATCAACCTTTTTTTTATTTACATTGGGGGAGAAAAAGTCAAATTACATGACATATTTAGCACCTTGAAAGGTCAACAACAGTTAGATTAGATGCAGTGTAAAGTGAGTATCTGATAACAACATTTCCTTTCATGATAAAAAAGAAGAACGGGGATGAGTGGCTGGTAAATCCTTTGGCAGATTATGAATCCTTTTGTCATTTGGCGATTATAAGTCATAAAAGTCTCCCTTTCTCGTAAAGAAAAAGTGGAAATGATGAGAAAGCTCAAAGCAGTTTAACAGGTGTAAAAAAGCTAGATTTACCTAATGTTTATTTTGGAATTTATCTAGCCACACATCACACAAATTACAGAGCCAATATCGTTACCACTAAATCATGCTGTCATCCGTCTTCTCAAGCTCTCTTTGTAATGACTCGGGGAAGGATAAGCATGAGAACAGTTCACAGAATTAAAGTAAGATGTTTACTTTAGTTTGAGTACTCATCATCATTTCTTAGCTGCAAACCAGACCAAAAAGCCAGCAGAAAGTAGACGAGAATGTATGGTGTATGGATGGGATCAGCAGAGTCGGCTGAGATGATGCGTGGCATGCTCATGCAGATGCTGGCTCGGCATCCGAAGCTTGATGCCATGTCCAGAAATGCCCACCAAAAGACATCCTCGGTGCTGCATGCACTTTCCATCTGCATCTATCCTTTGCTTCATCAGCAAAAGATCGCAGGCAGGCAGCTCCCAGCTTTCAAATTATTCCCCTCTCCCCTTCCTGCATACATCTGTGCTTCTGGATAAGTGTGATGACCTAATGTTAGAGAGGGACAGGAAAACAAGGTGTGCGTTCATTATGATTTTGGACACCACATGGTCGGCTGTGGTTGCAGAAAGAGCGGTGGAGAACAGAGACAGTCGGTCATCTTTGTGCTCTCCAATCCAAACCCCTCCCATCCCTTGACTCTACACCATGTCTCATACGTCTCCATGATTGCCAAGTACTCCCACTGCCTGCTAAATCATTGGCCGGGCAGCCGCTTCAGACGTCACCCCGATGACCTGTCGCGGCCTCGTCCCGACACGCGTGCTGTCGGCGGCGGCAGCAGTAGCAGTAGCTTCGGCCATCGGCAATGTGGTGATGGATGACGCTTCCACCAGCATTTCTATAGATCTATTCCTTGATTAAGTTGGCAATTATTCTCTAATCATGCCTTTGGATGTAGATTTGTCGGGTGGCGTCGAAGTCAATTGCATTATCTGAGCGTGCTCCCATGACAATGATGTGAGATGTTGGTGTCAAGCTACGCATAAATCCTACGCTAATGGCGACCGCGCAGCACTAATTGCGGCCCACAGGACGCCAAACTGCACTCTGATAGCAGCGAGAACCATATATATTAAGCTACTTGACCACTACTTTATTTGATCCGATGACCCATTGTTGCACGAGTACATCACGCAGACTACTGTTGAACCTGTAGAGATGTTGCAACCATATAATAATTGGTGATGGTTTAGGGATGTGGGAGTGGGTGACAGAGAGGAGCTCATCAGAAGGCACAGTCGTACCGTTCATTCCTAGTTCAGAGAAAAAGTTGTGTGGAAATAAAGGAGAAACAGTCGCAGTTTGCTGTCTTTCTCAAAACTCCACCACACCTCTCATTCATTGCGTTGGATGTCTGGCAGAGCCCACACATCTGCACCTTTCCCATCTATCTCTGTATGCAGGGGATGGAGACCAGGGTGCATAAATCCCTTTGCTATTTGTTGAAGGAAATTTAATTCTCTGCCATCAACCCTACCTGTCCTTCAATCCTCCCCACCGTCACAAGACAAAGAAGGGGCAGACAAGAGGGAGGGGCCAGAGGTGATGGCATGCAGCTTGCAACTACTCCATGCACAGAGCCAACAGCTCATGTGTGGCTTTCATGGAGGGCTGCCTGGACCCTCAGCACCGGGAGGGGGGGGGTTCTAAATCGTGCCATTCATCGAAGGCTTTCACCATTTTGTGCCTTGATTAACTACCAAGCAAAGTTGAGATCAAATACTGCTGGCTATGTTGTCGTCTAAGTAGAGTTGAGATTCACAGTCATGTCAAGAAAGTTATGAAAGGCATGCATGGCAGGTGTGTCGATGATTGAGTTGCGAAAAGGAAGGAGGCTAAGAGTCGTATATGTCACACTCTTGATGTGTGTGGTATTGTGTCATATATCACTACTCTCCAGTAAGTCTTAATACCTGCTATCCTACTCATGTGAACCCACGGAGCCCTCTCTCTCTCTCTCTCTCTCTCTCTCTCACCTCATCCCCCCACTCCTAGAAGTTGGTCATTGGTCTCCCTTTTCCCTTTAGTACATGGGAGATAAGTTGTCACAATTGTCATGTTTACTTAATTATAATTCCCACTCAACTCCCACTGCCACTTTATTTCTCTCACTCATTCTTTCCTTCTTTCCTTTACTGACAATCATAGGCACCACCTCTCTCTCTCTCTCTCCCTCTGTCTCTCTCTAGCAATATAAAGAAGAGGCGGTGGAGGAGGTAGATAGCCAAGCGAGCATGAACATGAATCCACAAGATATATGTGACAGTGGCCTCTCTCTGGGGCTGGGCATTGGTCCAACGAGCACGGCGTCGGCAGAGCACCGTCGGCGACGAAAGTCCATCTCGCCCTGCAGGAACTTGATTCCTGACAAGCCATCCCTCACCTTAAGCCTCTCCGACGATGTCTACGGTGGCTTGCCCATGCCGAAGGCTGAAACCAACAGGGCGAGAGAGGCGCCGCTGTCGTCTCCTCACAGCGCGGCCTCGGCCTTCTCTGCTGCGCACGAGATGAACCTTAAGAAGGAGAAGGATGCCGGAGGTGAGGAGGTGGAGGTGGAGGTGGAGAGAGTTTCTTCGCGTGGTAGCGACGAGGAGGACAACAGCAGTGCCAGGAAGAAACTTAGGCTTACCAAGGAGCAGTCTGCCCTGCTCGAGGACAGGTTCAAGGAGCATAGCACTCTTACTCCCGTAATTACCTCACTAAACCTTATTATATATGTATGTCTTGTTCCTTTTAGTAACTCAGTTTTCCTCATCGCTTTCCTTTTGTGATCAGAAACAAAAGCAAGCCTTGGCCAAGCAATTGAATCTCCGGCCCCGGCAAGTGGAAGTATGGTTCCAGAACAGGAGAGCAAGGTCTGTTACTAACGGCCACAACTCCATGCAGATCTACTCACGAAGAAGGGAACTCATCGTGTCGATGGATGTTGTGATTGCAGGACGAAGCTGAAGCAGACCGAAGTAGACTGCGAGTTGCTGAAGAAGTGCTACGAGACGCTGACCAACGAGAACCAGAGGCTACAGAAGGAGCTGCAGGAGCTGAAGGCGCTCAAGTTCGCGCCCCCGCTGTACATGCAATTCCCAGCGGCCACCCTCACGATGTGCCCGTCATGCGAGAGGATCGGCGGCGGCGGAAGCAGCATCACGGACAACAGCTCCAAAGCCGGCGGCGCTGGACCGGTTGTGGTGCCACCAAAGCCCGGTCACTTCTTCAATCCCTTCACCCATTCAGCAGCATGTTAGCTTAGACCGCCACACGCCCACCCTCCTTTGTTGCAAGGGAGCTTGGAAGGAGATATCTTTCAGCTGACTTTGGTTTCACAATATCTCACAGTCTAGGGAGAAAAGATAGGAGAATTCCCATTACTTGTTGATGTTCAAAGATCTCTACATAGTTAGTGCATCTCCTTGTGGTGATTTAAGTGCTTGATTACTGAGCTGTACAGAAGAAATATATTTGGAACTCCATTGACCTGTTCTTTTTCTCTGTGTAATTTGAGATGAAGACAATATTAGAGCAGCTCTCTCTCTCTCTCTCTCTCTCTCTCTCTCTCGCTTTGTGATTTCTCTTTGGCTTTCTTCTGGAACAGTTCTTTGGGCATGGAGGAGACACTGGGAAGGACTTTTGGTGGAGTGGTTTGTGTGAGAAGGGGACAAGAGAAGCATGATATTTGTGTTGAGGCAGATGCACTCTACATCTTGGGTTTGAGTGGGACAAGGTATAGGGGAGGTGATGGGGATGGCTCACGTGGTGGTGTCTCTTGGTTTGTAAGGGAGGGTCTAAAGAGGGAGGGAGGTGTGTGTGTGTGTGGATGGGGGGTTGGGTGCGAGGGGTCAAGGAATGATGAATGGATAGATGCACATTCCCGAGATTGGCTTCTTCCTCCCATGATTGGTGGATATAGAGGACCATCAGTGGGTCACACACCCATGTGAGCGTGGACCCACACCTTCCCCAGTGGGGCCCCACACAAAAAATTGAGGTTCACACAAACCTTGTTTCCTTTTTCTTTCCCCTATCACCAATTGTACCTTTGGGTCCATACAAACCGTAGCTTGTTCCAATAATACTAGACTTGTTCCCACATATCTCTAATTTTTGCAAATTATTCTTGTTGTTGTTGATCTGTGAACTAAACTGAAGTATTCATATATTATTTGTTTAATTATATATATTTGGGAATTCAAGCCTTCATTTCACTCAAGAAAATCATGAATAATATATTTAAAAAGTGATCCGAGTAAAATGTATTTCTGATTATATATTTAGAGTTTATTTTTGGGATGAAATTTCTATTTTTTTTAATATTTTTTTGTGAACTAAGTTATTTAAGATATTTATTTTGCATTGTCGAAGAAAATGTTTCATAATCATTATCACAGTCATTATAATGATGTCCAACATTTATTGATCACATAAACAAGGATTAAACCAATAAAGTAGTTAATTTCGATTATTTCTCATGATAATGTCTACACCATCCATTAAAATCATGGTAGAAATTAGTATTTGATTGAATGAGTGTCGGCTTTTATATATTTTAATGGATCCATCACATATCTCATGCATGATGCATGCGAGTTGCCGGTGCTCAAAACCATGTTGATTGAATGAATGGTAAGATATATGTGTGTGTGTGTGTGTGCAAGGAAAGCATGCCTATACACATATATATTGACAAAGTGTTGCATGAGTTTTCCCTATTATGGACTCTCTAAGAGTTGTGTTCCTGTATGGACTTTTGCATGACAAATCATACATGATATTTCATGTATCGACCAACTTGATTGTACTATTTACGTTGGTTTCGATGTCATCATTATGTTAGAGTGGAGGATGAGCTTTTGTTTGTGCGTGAATTGTGTACTCTAAATTGGCCCTAAGTCAATTCCCTTATAACATGAAGTATAGACTCTGCATCAAAAGATAATGGTAGATTAGATCTTCACTTTGGTCTACTCTACAAGAATATGCACCACCAAAACGCAATGCTTTCTGAATGTGAATTATTAAAAGGAAAATAAGAAATTAGAAAGATAGAATATGTGCTGAAAACAAAATGTCCAAACTTCATGATCAAGTATTCTTAGAATCTAAAGATTAATTAGCCATGAGGAGGAATGACACATCCCATCCTCCTTTTCAGTTGTGATTGAGATAAGAAGATTACATTGAAGTTGAAGTTGTGATAAGAGGTTCTAGATGAAGCTAACTCATAATTGACTCTAATTTGTGAATCGCATCGACAATGACGATAGCAATTGATGACTTTTTCAATTATTAGGAGAACTTTATAAGCATCACGGTATCCGTTTTGATGAAAGAATTAAGATCAAAAGGGGTGAGAAAAGAATAACGAGCACCGCCCATTCTATTATCAAGATTGGATTCTTGAAAAATTTAGTTATCCTTCTAGTAATTTATTATATTCGATCGATCGCATCGAATGATTGGGAGAATAATTCCATACGATGAGAATAAAATGTGAGAGAGAGAGAGAGAGAGAGGAAAAAAATGCATAGAGCTGACCATAAGACTTAGCATGAGACAGGAATAGTTGGGATAAGTATCATGATTTTGGTTCTTTAGGTCAATTTGCTTTTGTCATCCAATTATTCTCCAACAACATGACATATGCAGGCATATAACTTTCTCCCAAAAATATTCTTCCTTCATTGTTTTTGTTTTCTTTTCAGTAGCAAACCTCGCAAAACTATTCATGACACCCACACAACACCCAACAACCATCGAACATTGCATCATTATGATAAAGGTATTAATCTATCCTTCAAATGAAGCATCTTCCACATTACATTTTTGGAGATCATTTCTTCTATCAAGTGGAGAAAGCTACATATATTCTCCAGAAGTAGACAGGACCACCCTGGGCTCTCTCTCTCTCTCTCTCTCTCTCTCTCATCATCTCTTTCATGTTGTGGGGATGTTTCAGGGGCCAGGAAGAACACTGGTGTTTCTGCTAAGAAGTTGATGTGCTATTCTCTCTCTCTTTGTCACATGACTGAGTGACTGACTGACTGACCGCCGCTACTTAGCCATTTGATTCAGTGGAAGGGAGGGTTTGACAAGTCCCAGATGTTGAACCGCGCATGGCTTTGTTGCGTACAGTGAGAAGAGTGCATGCTGACAAGGAGATTACTTGGATCGTACTCTGGAGTAGAAAGGGACTTGATGTCAGGTACAGTGGAACAAAGACAACATGATGATGATCATCATCACCTCTTTGTGCATACTAATCACAAGGTAGAATAATGTTTTGGACTACATGATCTCCTTGTGGTCCAATGTCTCGCAAATCCTCAAAGATATTATGATCAGCCATCTGATGAATCATGTATTATATATTTTTTTTAAAGAGGAAAAAGTTAAAAAACTATTTATTTTAAAAATATTGATATTAAGATTTCATAGAGAGAATGATATGAGAGAAAATGATGCCTAAGAGTAGGATAAATACAAGAGAGTTTAAGAAGTTTTTAAGAAAATTTTATCGAGATCGATAATACAGGTGGATCATTTCTTGTCATGCTTTGAATATTTTAACAAATAATACAACTGTAAATTCATGTTTAAATTTGAACTTAAGCTAGAGTGTTCTTAATCATACATTTTTCTTTTTTTCACATTAGATGATCTTGATAAATCTCATTTAGGTTAAACAAATAATTATATGATACTTGAGATTTCTTTATGACCTTGGCTGTATCATGGTCTTCTTTAATAATCTTCCATAAGTATTACGATCGATACTCCACATTTAATAAGTATCTCTTGTAATAATTATTTTCTCTAAAAATAAAAAAAATGTGAAGTCGAAGTTTTTTTTTTAGAAAAGAAAACTGCAAAGACCACATGATGATGCCTTTGTGCTGCTGGTCCAAATCAATAATTAATTTTAAAAAAAAAATTTAAAGAGGATACATGTGTTATTGCTCATCATCATCAGTAAACAATATTCTGAAATCCTTCTTCACTACCAGTACATATCAAGGCTTCTACTGTCAAAATAGAAGCTTATGAGTGCAACCAACTCAAAGTCGAGAAGGCTCACAAGTGTTTCACATTTTATAAAGCTAGGAAGGAAAGCACTTGAAACAGGTAAACTCCTCGTTCCCAAACTTGACAGAAATCAACCCTCACACATCAAATCAAAGTGACTCAAAAACCCTGAGGTTCAAGGAGACAGACCACAGGTATGCTAGCAGTCGTTTGTTTCTACGTGCAAAAAATCTGGATATTTAAAGAAGGACGGAGTCGAATATCACGCTTGGCATGTTAAAAAGGGAATATTTTTTATTTTGATTTGTTTTGAAGTCAATTTAACTTTAGTACCTAGAAACACTTAGTGGTTAGACTCCAGTACAACAACTAACATCAATGTATTAATGCAAGGTTGTCTAAGCTACCGAAGACCCAACAATACAAAGAGAAGCATTTATGTGAGGGACGAAAAATCGGTAGATGTGGAAGCTATAGGCATATTTAGATTATTATTATGTACTGGATATTATTTGGATTTAAAAAATACTTTTGTTATACCGTCATTTAGACAAAACTTAATTTCTGTTTCTTATATAGACAAATCTAGTTATTCTTGTTCATTTGGAAACAATCAGTTTACTTTATCTTTAAATTCAAAAAATCATTGGAACGGTTTCACATATGGCTTATGACAATCTATATTTACTTGATACTATAATATCATATCATGAATCCCTACGGAATTACGAGGTAATAAATGTAAAATTAAAAATTCTGATATATTATAACATAAATGTTTGGGTCATATCTCTAGAAATAGAGTTGAAAGACTTATTGCTAGTCATAGGTGCCCAGCAAACCAATAACATGAGTGATGACACGTG